TGATTACAGCCTCTGAGATGACTACTCCTCAAAGTACGAATATCAACTCATCATACTACGAGAGAACCGTAGAAATGATGCAGAAACTCTTCTATGAGTTCCATTTCAAATCATAATTTAAAAACTGACATAGAGCCTATCATTTCAAAAGAAATTTTTTCTTCTTTGCAGATATATCTTTCTTCGAGTTGATGTCTCCGTAATTGGTGTTCGAAACTCCAAAAGAATAAAATATTACAGCTCTTGATGCATTCACGTGAAAGAAATACGTGTAACCAGCGGGCTGATATGCAAGTGGATCAAGAATATTGGTAATGTGTATCTTTGAAATGAAAATATGAAATCTGTGGTTATGATGAGATTACGACCAGATTGAGATTGAAGTGATCTCGGGGTGTGTCAGTAACCTTTCTCGGTATCCAAGAAGACCTGCCGCTGCTGAGTAACCCTGATCTACAAATTCACGCGAAAGATTTGAGATTAATGAGATCCGTGTTGTTGCAATGCCTGACAACCGCCCAGATGAGATAACAGATAAGAAAGCCGAAGTTTCTGATCCCCAAAGATATCAAACGAATATTAATATGGAAATAGAAGTATCTTTCTGTTATAATTTCATTTTCTTTATATTCTTGTCTTATTCTCGGTTTTTATTGATATCAACATACTGGTTACACGTACTTCCAAATGCTTTCAATTTCACAACTTTCAGGTGAATACATGGTGGCTCCACTCCTAATCAGTCTGTTCCTTGGGATTCCTCTACTTGCAGGTATAACAAATCTATTGAAAATAAATGGATTGAAGTATTCAAATTCTTATTTCAATTGATATGTCCGGTATAAGTGAGATAATGGACAACTTTCAGAGAACGTAGTCTTACCTGACAGCTCTCTGTCGATTTCTGCAACTACGACGCCTATGACACCACCACAGTTTGACGTTAACACTGAAATGGAGAAGTTGTCCGAAACGTGTTTGAGCAATGAGGATCATGGGCAGTTATGGAACAACACTGTGCATCATTATTTTGCACACCTACAAAATCAAATCATGATCACTGGAGCGCTAGAGATGATTGGCCAGACCGAGATGAGAGCGACTCTCAACTTTGCGCCACGCCGGAGCTGGGTATCCCGTATCTCCAAAAAGCCTAGTGAGAGCGAGTTGGCATCGGCGGCAACCATTGAAGCTTACTACGATCTTGTAGAACCGCATTTTGAAATGTACAGATATAAACGTTTCATTTCGGAGGAAAGTTTGATTCCTGCCATTGCATTTTTAGACAATCGTTTCCCCTTCATCCGTGCTTATTACCGGCGCAGTTTCGAAGAAATCCGTCGGCGGGATGGAGGAGAGATAAATAGAAAATTAGTTGATGATATGATCGAGAAGAACGAAGAGATTTTATTAAAATTAGGCTATGTATTAACCTATCCGAAATGTGGAAATTATAATGTAAAGTTTAAAAACTGTGAAGTTTAATGAAAAAGTTTTCTTGAATGAGATTATTCACAAATTGTCTGATTGAGCTGTTTCCTTACTCCTCACACTATCTTTCATAAACTGCAAATTAAGGGTTTTGCTAGTGTGAATTCTGATTTTTGTATTCAAATAAAGATTTTCTTCTCTTTCTCTGTTTTAAATTCTCAGAGCATTCAACCTCATCATCATTGTCATCCAGAAAATTATCCATCTCTGACTGATTGTCACCAAGATTTAACAGCTCAGCTGTAATTTGTGATTTCATTCGGAATTTTCGAATTATCAGGTGGAAAATCGATAGAGATTCCGATGAAAAAGGTATCAAATAATTGTCTCACTAATGATCTCAAAGACCTCGAATCTGAAAGACATGAACATCTATATCTATAAATATCATAACTTCGGAGTTTTAAGCTTATTCCCTCATGCAATTGGGATACTGTAGAAAGAATCGAGCAAGCTTACTGATGTCAAAAGAGATACGGTCTACATCAGTTCCAAATGAGCCTTTGGTTATAGATAATCTTTCAAACAATATCTGTTTTCAATAAGTACTCTGAAGATTCTTCAAAACATACATAAGTCATCGACGGCTCAAATTCAAAGACTAGTAGGCTGTCTTGTATAAT